CACCCCTTGCTTAGCAACCAGTCCCTCTGTTGCACCCGTCGTCTTCTGTGGTTCGGTAGTGAGTATCTCTCGCACTTCCGCATCCACGCCTGTATCGCATACCAATCAATGCCTAAGAATTGGTATACAGAGTATGTGTCCAAAAAGGTAACAATACATAAATTATGTGTGCTGTTGAGTATAGCCTTTGATAGCAATGCCCAGTTGAACCCATATTAAGGAGTTGCCTTGTGAATAGTAAACTTGTGTACTGTTATATGTCACGTGATTCTACCCATCTCGGACCGTCTCTACGTCCTATCTCGCACTCTCATGCGTACTCAGCAACGATTCCAACACACGTTCTACACAACAACACTCTACATGTACTCTAGCTGCCTATCTTGGGTTTTAGGTTTTAGGGTTCATGCTACATTTGGAAGTCTAAATTAGAAAAAAAACACTTTTCCTTCTTGTCTATGCACCTCCTGCGGTGGCCTCTGGGTTCAGTTCCACACCCTCATCAGCACTCGATTGTGTGTCAGTCGTATTGGTAGACTGCTCTTCCATAGCTGGTGTCACATGGTCGGACTTCACATTTCCTGTCGTGTCATTGGTAGATACGTGTTTTTCTGGCTCGCCATTGGTGGATATGTGTTTTTCTGGCTCCGCATCCGTTGAGGTGATAACAATCCGCTCACTGCCCTGTAGAAGTTCGGTAATCTCTGGAGTTGTCGGATTGTCCGATTTTTTCTCCGTATTATCCGACTTGACTCCTTCTTTAAGGACAGATGGACTTCTCTCCGTGGTATCTTTGCGCACCCCGCTTTCGACTACAGGCTTATATCCGGTGTTATTCACTGAACGAAGTTTATTTAATCGGAAGTAACATGATATTGAATACCTGATTTGGTAGTAGTATAAATGGACCGCACAAAATCGAATATGCTTGCTCACTGATGCATGCCGATATAACTGTCGCAGGTATCCTTGGGTATGCACGTACACATAAACATACATATGTAAACAAGTAGAGCCTTTAAGCAAATGGGCATGCGACATCACTATTGCATGTATTGTTGGGCTGTACAGATTCACATACTTTCATATGTGAACTAATCGACAATTGTGCTCATGCCTGGGCAAGTGACTATTATATGCAATTGTAACGTCCAAAAGAGATATTTCAGGCAACGAAGGTATTCTTCCCATTGATGCCATATTGGTTTTCCAAATGCATGCAGAAGTTAAACTACCCTGTATTCTCGAGAGGGGATACCCTTAACATATGAATCAGCCAGTATAT